GTAGGCTACTAATAGCAAGAGCTTTGCCGGCTGATTCTGGAAATTACACGTGTGCTCCTTCCAGCAGTGATTCCGCCAGCGTTATCGTACACGTGCTCAACGGTAATTATTATTATTTTCTTTTTTGAAAGGTCGAAGAGAGTAATTATGTAAAAATAATATTTACGTAACACAATTATTTTTTTTTTTCATTAAAAATTTTTTCGAACGTTCCCAACTTTCGCTCCCCTCCCCTCCCTTCCCACCCCTCCCCAAGCCCCCTCTCCTCTCTCCCTCGATATTTACATTTCGAATATATTATCACGGTATTATTATTTTAAATAAATGTGATAACAAACACACACACAACTCGAACGATTTTTTTTTTATTAATTCTGCTTCTGGAAAAAAAACGATAATCCCGGTTTGTTAAATAATCCCCTTAAAAAAAAAGAGTATAAATGATAAAGGGATCTTTTTTTTTGTTGTTTGTTATTTCCAGGAGAACATCCGGCTGCCATGCAACACGGCAATTCATCTAGTCATGCATTATCAACGATTCCAAAAAACTCAAAAATTTTATTTATACGTTATATAATACTCGGAGTGACTTTATCACTTCCAATTAGGTGATATACTTAAATATAATTTTGTGGTTATCAAAATTATTATTATTGAATGTTAATCTGTGTGGATGATCCGCATTAAATAAAAAAAATTTATACAGAGATTATTCGCGGCTTCTCAAGTAGTTTAACGATGTCATTTAATTTTGGGTTTAACAAAAAAAATTAAAAATTTTCCAGAGTGGATAAAAAAGACAATTCACGTGTGTAATGATAACATAAATAAATAAATAAACAATTTATTTCAAGTTTAATAAAAATTTTTTATTTTTTGTTTGCGTTGCCGTTATTATTCTCACATTTAGACAAGTGTAATTGATATCCGTTTCCGGTTTTTCTTTTTTTTTTTACTATAATAATAATAAAAATGTGTGCCAAAAAAATAAATTTTAAATCGACATTTTTTCCCTACCCCCTCGCTTTTTTTAATTAAACAACAACCCCGAAATAATTTATTAAAAAATTACACACAATAATAATAATAATAATAATAATTTATGTTAATATTTTTTCAAATTTATATTAAATGTTTTTTCTTAAATAAAGAGGAGAGAAATAAAAGATGAAACCTTTTAAATTTTACTGTTGGATCCCCTAATTAAAAAAAAAATTGTTTTTATTAAAAAAATTTGTAAAATAATAATAATAATAGATTTTAATTTAAAACCTTTTAGATTTTTAAACAAAAAAAAATTAAATAAATAAAAATAAAACAAATAAATAAATAAATATGTATAGTTATGTATGATAATAATTTTTCCTTAATTTTTTTTTAATTTCCTTTTTATTATTTATAATTTATTTTATTTTACTTCCTTATGTAAAAATAAATAAAAGTTAATAAATAATAATAATAATAATTTATTTATTAATCAATAATTATAAATAAATAAATAATAAATGTTTAATATGAGAAAGAGAGAGAAAGACACACACACACACAGTGCAAGTCACGCATTTTTTTTTTTTTTTTATACATAAAACGATCGAAAAGTCAGAAAATCTTATGGACACGCACACACACACACCCACACACACATAAATAATTTTATTTACAATTTAAAATGTATTATTTTAATTAAATAAATTTTTTTTTTTACATTCAAATCGATTTCCCGCCAATTTCAAATATATTTTTATTTACGTGCATTCATATAAAAAAACATTAAGAAAATTTTTTTTTCATTATCATTATCATCATCTAGTAAACTTTTTTTAAATAAAAAAAATATCAATAAACAATTTCGATAAACAATAAGATCGTTTCGTTAAAATAATAATAATAATAATAATATTAATTAACAAACAAACAAAAAAAAAATTTAATCGAAAAAAAAAAAAAAAATTTATAAATAATTTTATTTCGTGTTTATTATTATCATCATCACGTAAAAAAAAAATAAATAAAAAATATTAATAATAATAATTTAATGTTATCCGGGAGGAGTGAGGGAAGGGAAAGAGGAGAAGGAGAAGAAGGGAAGGGGGAAGGGGAGAAGAGGAACAAAAATTTTGATGAATCAGGTATGGACTAGAAAAAATACATAGAAAACATTAAAAAAATTTTTTTTAAAAATAAAACCGTGATAATAAATAATTAATTAATTATTATTATTATTATTATGTATCATATTAAATGCACCCTTTTGTTTTAAAAATTTAAATAAGTAAAAATTTAATTATTATTATTATAATAAATTATTTTTAAAGGAACAATTTATATAAAACTTATCAATTATTTTTTTAACATAAACAGTCTTCGCCTTACTGATAATTAAATTTGATAATAAATCAATAATCAATAATATTGATTTTAATAACAATTTATTTTGTTATCAATAAAAAAAAAAAATGAGGGAAAACGTTCGTGAAAACCTGATATACAAAAAAATTTTTACGTCACCCATATAATAAGGATTATAAATTATTATTATTATTATTTTTTTATTAAATGAATTGACTCATAATTTATCGTATTTAATAATAACAATAAAAAAAAAAATTAATTTTAATACAAAACAATTAAGTAACAAAAATAAAAAATAATTTTTTTAAATCATGTTATAATTCTCAAAAAAAATTCAGATACTAATAACTAATCAAATAAACAAACAAAAAAATATAAATAAAATAATACGATCATTTTAATTAATAATTAATTAATAAATTAAAATTAAAATTAATTAATTTGCACTATAATATTATTAATTAACTCAATTTTTTATTTTTTTTTATCTTATTCATTTCTTTTTTTTTTTATTAAGTAAATATTACTTTGGTATTTTTTCGTTATTATTATTATTATAATTCAAAACAATATTTACATAAATTATGTTATATGTTAAAAAAAAAAAAATTGCCCCTTAACAATAAAAAACTAACTCTAACCATAATTTTCCCTTTTTTTTAAAACCCGTCACCATAAAATGACTTTGGATGTTCAAAACTAGCTGCAAACCTGAGAGACAAACAAACAAAAAAAAAAAAAAAAAAAAAAAAAAAGAGGCAACAGAAAAAAAACAAAACAAACAAACGATATAATAATAATAATAAATAATAATATTTACAATTTTTTATTATAGTACAAATTAATAAAATATAAATAATAATAAAATAAATAATAATACACAAATTAAATATAAAAAAAAAAAATGCTCTTTTTACACACAACTTTTAAGTAAATGCAATTACGTTATCTTTATCCCCAATTCATTTTTAAATGTGTAAAATTGATTATTTTTTGTAATATGATTAAGTGATGTTATTAATTTTTAAATTAATTGATTTAAAAAAATAAATAAATAAAATTTAATAATAAATAATGTTTCGGCGGTGAAACGTTTTTAAAATTTTTTTATAAAATATAAAAAATTGATTTTTTAAAATTTATGTATATATATATATATATTTGTTTGTATATAATAAATAAATAAAAAAAACGAATATCATTATCGTCAGGGCCGTAATAACATTCTAGAAACCTGCCAAACAGACACACACAAAAAAAAAAAATTTTTTTATTAAATAAATAAATAATTAAAAATTTATAAGATAACATTGCCCGTATTTTAATTTATTTGTAGTTAAAAAAAAAAAATTTTTTTGTAAAGAGAAAGAGAGAGAGAGAGAAATAAAAATTTCTCAAACACAAAAAAGGCCCACATGAAAACGAAAATTAAATTAAAAAACTTTACACAAAACATTTTCTATTTAAATTCGAAATTAAAAATTTTCTTTTTTTTTTTTTTTTTTTTAATTATCCAAAAATACGAGAAAATATTTTTGGCATTGTCGTCACAACCATTAGCTTTTAATTTATAAAATTTTTCTCTTTTTTTTTTTTTTTTTGTTTTCAAGCATTTTCCAAATTTATTATTATCAATTTAGAAAAAAAAAAAAAAAATTCTTTCTATAAGATATAAAAAACTTTTGAACTGTATAATATCATTTAGTATTTGAAAAATTAAAACGGGATAAAGTAATCCCATTCGAATTTAATGATGCATTATATCTTCTATCAATCCCACGATCGAACTTTTCAAATGACTCAATTTTGTTTTGATGTCTTTAAATGATGGGCTTTTTTCAGGGTGCAAATCCCACGTCTAAAAATTTTTTTATTTTTTTTTTGTTAATAAATAAATAAAAAGTGATGATAATAATTTATTCAAAAAATTTTCTTTTAAATACCTGTCGCATTATTTCGTAAATTTCTTGCGGGCATCCTTCCGGAGCTTCCATTTTATAACCTTTTTCCACGTGTTTAACAACATCGGCTTGTGGTATACGCGGATAAGGAACTCGTCCGAAAGAATAAATTTCCCACAGCAAAATTCCAAAACTCCACATATCAGACTTGTTTGAAAATAGCTAATGAAAATAAATGACGAAATTTTAAATACAAATAACCGACTTGTAGGAGTTCGACTTAAATTTATGGATACCGACCCCTTGTCTAAGAGCTTCCGGTGCAGTCCATTTGATTGGTAACTTTCCAGCGTCTAAAGTAAAATTTTCTTCTCTCGCGAGTCCAAAATCTGATACTTTTGCAACTCCTTCTTCCGATATCAAAACATTTCTAGCTGCTAAATCGCGGTGTACTACTTTCCGAGATTCAAGATATTCCATGCCAGAGCACGTATCGCTGGAATAATCAAGCATCTTCGTTAATTCAATTAAAATTTTTTTTTTTTTTTTTTTTTCTAAAGTCCTAACACTTACAATGCGAAATTTATTTGATCATTTTTCGTTACGTGAAGTCTTCCTCTAGATCTTAAATAATCTACTAAGCTGCCTTTGCTCATATATTCAGTCACGAGGTAAATGTGATTATTACTGAAAACTAAACCTAACATCTCTACAAGATTTTCATGTCTTAGAGATCTAAAAATACAAAAAAAATCAATTAGGAATTTATTTAATTAAATATTAAGCTTTTAAACAAAAAGAAAAAACTAACGTCATAAGCAAAGCTTCCGTTAATAATTTTTGAGCAGCTTCAGATGAATCTTTAAGCGTTTTAACGGCTACTTTATTTCCGCGATAAACCCCTAATAAAACATCCCCGAATTCTCCTTTTCCTATGGATTCCCGAAGTTCAAGTTCGCTCGTTTGAATCATCCAACCAGCATCGGCAAAGTCTTTTGTTGCAACGCAAATATCTTGCTTTCCCTTCTTTGGTAAACATTTTGTTAACTGAGTGCATAACCCATCGGCATCCTGCTCGTAATGCTAACATAAAAAAAAAAAATGTTTCGTTACCGGAAAATTTAACTTTTTTTTTTTTTTTAAATAAATATTTTAAGTTGTTCAGCTGTTTACACATACCCCGACAAGTTGTGCAAGAGTTTGAAAATATTCTTCATCATCAATTGTTAATTGATTTTCTTTGTACTTTACTCTGTAGTGCTCTACTTTTCCCTGGAAGCACACACAAAGTGTGTAGTCCCCCGGGAAATTGGTCGATTCGCGAACCAAAAATAGACCATCTTCTTTTGGAGTGAGTAATTGCTCAGCCCTGTCTCTCGATATTTTACCGTGAAACCACCTGTATGAGTTATTTATTTAAATTTTATCAATTTGTACTGTTTGTACAACAAACACTTGCATAAAAAGTTTTATTTTTACGTACGGCATTGTATTCAATTTTATTTCTGCTTTTTGAGCAAGAGTGGGAGACAATTTGCTATTTTCTGCCATTTTCGAAGTAAGCCATCCGTCGCCAGCGTCTGTCGGACTCACGATGGCTACAGGATGGTACCTAAAAATTTTAAATTCAACTTAATTCAAAATTCAAAATTTTTTTCATAATTAATTATTAATGTTTAAAAAAAAAAATTACCTTTGGGTGAAAGCAGTATTATGTATATTTTTATTCATTACACTTTGAATCTCCATCCAGTAACTTTTAACTCCTCCATTCTTATTAAAATATCATAAACAAATTAAATTTATTTTCCTTATAAGAAAGGCCTAAAAATAAAAATAAAAATATAACAAAAATGTTTATAAAATCTTAAACGAAATTGTGCAATAAGTCGAAAAAAAAAAAAAACAAACTTATGATGAAATATTTTATATTTTACATTTTATATTTACATTAAAATATTAATTAAACTAAAAACTAGTTTAAAAAAAAAAAAAATTATTTGAATCTTATTAATAACAATTCGTCTAAGGATTTTGTAATATCCTTAGTTCAAAATAAAATATCAATACCAAATGTTTATTATATATTTTTATTATTAATAAACATTTCAATTGTATTTATTAAAAATCATGATAACCTTAAATTAATAGTTGTTTAAATCAAAACAACTGTGACAATGAAAAATATTATAAATATAACAATATTTACTTATCTAGAAAATTGTGTTTGATATTCAAAACAATAATTTTTTTAAGTTTACGAAAGGTCTATATCATAAAAGTTTACCAAGAAAAAATTATTTAAACTTGTAATAAAGTTGTTGTATAATTTTAAAAGTATTAACAAAATAATAGTTAAACACATTATGTATAGAAAAGGGTCCTAAAAGTTAATAAGTCATCAATTTACTGACTAATGTATTCTAAATGTTTTAATAAAAGTAATTTAAATC